CTTTGCAAAAACATCTACAACAAAATTTTTCCAGATTATCTCAACACAGAAGACTCCGAAGTCAGCTTCTCAGGATCAAATTGTTTCCCTAGCTCTAGATCCTTAAAATCAGATAAATACTACACAAAATCTTACTTCCCTGTTTCTCCTCTCTATTCCTACTCAGACTGTCCAACCTCAGTCTGCCAAATTCTTGACTAAGTATTCTGTGGTTAAGAGAACAGGCCTGGTTATCAGAAACACCAGGATTCAAGAACCCTGCTCCAGTGCGCTCTAAGTTTACTCATTCCCAGCAGACTTTGTGAGTCAGGACAAGTTATTTAATCTCTATAAATTTCAGTTTTCTCACCTATAAAATGGGATAATAGTAGTAACAGTCAAAATACCATAGTACTTGGGGGGCAAAGTTCAGGCAGTCCTCAAAACTGGCTCTTTATCACAAAGACAATTTAAAGAATATAAATTTCTCATTAGTTTTAGATCTCTTTCCCTCTTTGTAACAGACAATCTATGCATATATGACCTCACATTCTAATTACAAAAAGACAGAGCAAGCTAAAGAACAAGTTGGGCCTGTTTCTGAAATAACTCAATTGGAGCCCTAGTAGGATCAGATTTTTAGGATATTCAATTCTACAACAAACTCTGAAAAGCAGTCTTTCTTAGATCAGGAAAATGTTCTTCCATCTCATTATATAAAGTTCTATTCACAGACAGCACACTATCTTTGGACATCAGTATTTAATGTGAGCCAAAGCACTGGAGCCTGGCAGGAAAAAAGACAATCAATGCTTAAAGAACTGTCTCTACATTTTCTCACTAAGTTTCTAAGTAGGAGGATCACATTGTGGCAAAATCAGAGCTCAAAGTGGTAGGCAGAGCCGAGGATTTAGCTCAGTGGTTCCACCGCCTGTCTTTCAAGCACAAGGATGAGAGATTGATCCCCGGTACCAAAAAATAAATAAATAAATAAAACCATCAGATCAAAGTGATAAGCAGTAGCTACCAGTGCATAAGCATGGCTTGAAATGCAAATTCAGAAACTTGTCATATTCATTGATGTTACACAATTAGTAAACTAAATGTGACTAAAACAAGATTATATAATTGTTCCTGAGTTTTAGCACTACAAATTCATTTAATTCGTACTCAGCTAAAATTCTAATTTCTAGTAAGCAGGCCATAAAACACATGATTCTAAATAATATAAGAAAATAGTAACTGCATCAATTATTATGTACTTATAATAATAAAATATTTGGGGAAGAAAAAGGTTTTATTGTTTTGTTTTATTTTTTGAGACAGGATCGTACTATGTAGTCCAGGCTGGCTTTGAACTATGTAGCCCAGGCTGGCTCTGGACTCAGAGCAATCCTCCTGCCTCAGCCTCTTAAGTGCTGGTATTATAAGCATGTGCCATCACACTAGGCAAGTAAAGGCTTTTAGAGTTAGTATTTGGATTTATTTTTAAATTAATACAAATTTAGGGCCAGGGATTTAGCTCAGTGATGCTGCCACCTGCCTCACAAGCACAAGGTCCTGAGTTCAATCCCAGGTACTAAAAAAAAAAGTAAATTAATATAAATTTAACAATTAGAATACTGGCGACACTGGAAAAAGACTAAAAACTTTTTAGAGTTATATAAACCCTAGTTTAAATCTAAACTATTCCACATAACCTAATTGGACAGGCTACCCAAACTCTCTAAGCCTATTTCTTCCTCATCCTCACTGGAAAACGGAAACAAGGAACCACAACTTACAGGGTTATTTGAAATAGTGATGAAAACACTGTATAAATTAACATATGTGTGAAACTGTGAACATTGTAAAATTATATAGTTGGTAATTACATTGCTATTACTTAATAAATTACTAATTTCAAATACAGCTGTCTAAACAACATTAGAAAAACACTAAAGCATCATATAGTACAACAGTCAATTATTGATCATGCTGACTAAACTATGCAGTGCAAAAAGCTAGGCCCGGAATGGTGGTAAATGCTTGTTATCCCAGCCCTTGAGAAGCTGAGGCAAGAGCATCACTGAGAGTTCCAGGCCAACCTGGGCTACACAGTGAGTTTAAGGGCATCTTGAACTACATAATCGAGACCCTCCCTGTCTCAAAAAAACAAAAGTTAATAAACTTAAAGCAATCAATTTTTGGTTTTGAAATACTTAAGATTATTTCTTTTCTTTTTTTTTTGGTTTTTTGAGACAGGGTCTCACTATGTAGTTGAGACTGACCTGGAACTCACTATGTAGCCCAGGCTGGTCTCGAACTCATAGCAATCCTCCTGCCTCAGCCTCCCAAGTGCTGGGATTACAGGCGTGCTCCTGGGCAGTGTATTTGTTTTGTTTTTGTTTTTGTTTTGTTTTGTTTTTGGTGGTACCAGGGATTGAACTCAGGACCTTGTGCTTGCAAGGTAGGCGGTGGCACCACTGAGCTAAATCCCCAACCCCTACTTAAGAATATTTCTGTATCAAATTAACTATGTCCAGGTAAAAATTATACATAATACAGACAAAAAGTTGACTGTTTTCAATCTTATAAAGTTCTTTTCACAAAAGATTATTTACAAAAATGTTACAGCCCACACAATTATTAGAAGGCATTAAGAAGTCCATGTCTATCTTATTATAAGTACATAATAATTAATGCACTGTTACTGTTTTCTTGTATTTTCTTGTACAGTGCCTGATATGTAATAGGTATCCAGCAAATATTTCTTTAATTATAATCTATATACACTCATTTAAGATGATTCCAGAGTAGCAGTCCAATGCTAAAAAAAAAGTAATAAAGAAGCATATTTGACATTAATTTTAATAGCATATTAATAAGAAATATTTTAATCTTTAAAAAGGCATAAAAAGTCATTATTAAACCAGTACCACAGACTCACTGTGAAAAGATAAGGATAAATCAGAAAATTAACTGAAGGAAAGTTCACTGGCTGGTAAAAAGGAACATTAGACTAAATGAAAGTCATCAATGACAATCTTCAAGGAAACAGTAAGAAAAGTTATAACTATATGAATAAAAACAAATATACATATATTCATCACAAGGTAAGATATAAAATAATAAAGGGCAATTATAGCACCAGCTACTCAGAAGGCTGAGGCAGGAGGAATTCTTGACTCAAAATCTAAAAGAGGTGGGGAGCACCTGGGCATGTAGCTTAGTGATTCAGCACTTGTCTAGCATATGTGATGCCACAGGCTCAATGCCCAACACCACAAAAAATCCCCAAAATTTCTAACAGTATTTACTCTTATTATTCACTTAAGAACACACTTTATTTTATTTAATTAGATTCAGTTCACGTCTACTGGTTGTCTACTGTATAGAAAGCGTATGAAAAGTGAGGTTCAAACAGTATAGAAGGAAGTCATGTGTCAACAGTTACTTTATAATGCACATATGGAGCGTAATCAGGGCAAAAACCCATCCCATGCCCATTCTAGTTCTTTCATGCACCTTTGCACCTTCTACTAGTTTGGTTATTTATTTCATCACCCTTCTGTTTTCAAATGCTCATTCAGTACCAGCAACCTCAATTTTAAAGGATTTTTTTAAAAAAGGAGTTTTTACCATCTTCATTTTTACTTAGCATATTCGGTGTTAAAAACAAGCTCTAATAAAAAAAATCAGTGTGCACCTTGAAGTAATTGAGACATTTTAAAGACACAGATCTCAAATTCTCCTCGAACAACAAAGATAACACAAGTCTGCTTATTCCTAACTGAGCTGTAACTTTAAGATGAGCAGCAACTCACTGATGGTTTTGGCTCTGGTCAAACACTGAGAGTCAATTTCACAGCGGGTCCTCCTGATTAACAGAGTCCTATCTATCTAAAATGTTTTTCAGTTTTAATCTAAATTTGTTTTTCTCCCTCCGGAAATTTTTGACTTAGCTGTTGTTAAACAACTAATATTCTGAGTTATTTCCTTCCGTTTTTAGACTTATAACAAAATCATAAAACAGGGCCAGGGATTTAGCTCAGCGGTGCCGCCGCCTGCCTTGCAAGCGGCAAGGTCCCGAATTTAAAAAAAAAAAAATGGTCCCGGTACCCCTCCCCCAAAAATTCATAAAATAAATGTCTTTCAAACACTGAAGTCAGTATTGGATTAGATAAGCTCAGTTGAAGAAAGTTGCACCCAACCCTTTAAAATATGGTGTAACATTTTTTTCCCTTCTGCTTAACTCTTCTGTTAACTATTGACGTTGAACGCTGCCTAAATTTGAAGTACAGATACCGAAACACCAGTCCCTAATGATTGGAACCCTAGACATTTAAAAAAAAAAGGAAGGAAGATGGAGCATCAGCTCCCTGAGATCTCCTCCAAAACTTGCATCGTTAACCTGTGACACCCGACAAAGAAACGAGAAAGGACCAACTGGCACAGCAAAGTTAACGCGGGGACCCCGGTGTTTCGGTGTCCGAGGCAGCGAATGGCTGAAAGCCACAGTTCAATAGCCCCAATTTTGCCCCCAAGAAAGCGTAGGACTAAGAGGGTGGCGACCAACTTTCCGGGCTTACCCCCCAGCACCCGAGCCGCTGAGATCCTGCTCCCACAGCTGTAGGCCTCCACCACACCCACGACCCTAAGCTTCCCCAGCCTCCCAGGCCAGTATGCAAGCTGTGGAGAGCTTGAGTGCCCGGCCTGCCCACTGTTCGTACAGATTCTCCCTGATGGAGCCTAGCATCACAGTGACCACACATCATGCTAGCCGGCAGCTCACCTTGGCTCTGCAAGGAACCCCCCAGCACCCGAGCCGCTGAGATCCTGCTCCCACAGCTGTAGGCCTCCACCACACCCACGACCCTAAGCTTCCCCAGCCTCCCAGGCCAGGCCCCGCCAGGCGCCTCTCCGCACTGGCCCCGTCGTCCCCGCTTCCCCGTCCCGGCCGGGCGGCCGAGCCTTTGTCACCTCCCTTCCCCGCTGGGAAGGACCTCGGCCAGAGGCGAATACCCTCCCTCGCCGGCTACCTTGGTCGTTCTGATGTGCTCCATCCCGAGGAGCCCTCAGCCGACAGCCGGCCTCACGGGTGTACCATGGGGTGAGAGAAACCAGGCAGAAACTGCGACCCACAGCCAGCCGGAACTCCGTCTACCGGCCAGCGCCCGTCCGTCAGCCCGCCCCCGGCAGCGTCAACTGCACTGGCGCAGCCGGTAAGCGCCGTCTCCTGGAAACACTTTCTCAAAACGTTCCGCGGGCCGGAGAGTGCAGGGAGGGCGGGCACAGCATCCGCCGACTTCCGGTTTCGTCCGCAGGGGTTCCACAGCGCCTTCAGCTGGTGGAAGACTGATACGACTGGACAATCTCTCGGGAATCCTTTGTCATTCAGCCAGACTAGGAGCAAAGCCCTGAGAGGGGCAAGAGAGGTGTTGGAGACCTTTCTGCGTTTGAGAATGGATTCTGAATAAAGGGTATTTGACGGGTAAGGGGATACTAGATGTCTCCGAAGCTCATCACCATGTCAGTAAACTGCCTCAAATTTAGATACTTTCGCTTTAGTTTGAGCAGCAATTATACTTACTAGAATTTATTCTAAGAAATAATCAGGTATATGTAGTATAGCCTTATTTAAAACAATCAGATTTTTTACTTCTACAATATTTGTTATGCAAAATATGGTCCATTCACTGTTAGAAGCATCCATTTAAAAATGGCCTGTGTACTATATTACTTACATAACAAAAATGCTGATGCTGTATGACAAAGTCGGTGGGAAATTACAGTATAGCACAGTAAGTTCAACTTGAACTGGTTTTGTAATTTTTATTTATGTAAACAGAAAGTTTACTTTTCAAGATTGGTCGGATTTTTGTAATTCCTCTGGTACAATAGCTATCAACCATGCAGCAGTTTTCTCCCCAGGAGATGTCTGGTGAGATCTGGAGACATTTTTGGTTGTCCTGAGGTAAAACAGGAGATATGCAAATAGAAAGGAAACATGAAGCACTGTTTTGGTCTTCCTTATTACCTTAGAATTCTGGGTCTGATTCTTGTTTAGCTCTCTCTGCACATAGAAATATTGATTATACAGGAAAAGTTGGTAAAATGAAATTTATCAACCCTAAATTTATCTAGTCTATCTCATCTACCTTCAAGACTGAGTAGTAAGATAAGAGTAACTAATTTCCAGGGTCGTAGGGACACTCTGATTGCCCGCTTGAGGAAGTTCATTTCCAGATCTCCCAGGAACCACACCCAGAAGCCTTCCACACCTATATTCACCTCATTCCAGGAGCAGCAGAGCCTAACAGGCCACCCCGTGAGGAAATCACTCCCAACAGCAACAATTATCCCATGACAGAATTGAAGTAGCCTTTCTCCCGTGAGCAAGGACAATCATTTTGTGGGAAAAAAAATTATCCCTCAAGCCATAGGATTTTTCAGAGCTATGAAACCAGAACTGAAATACTGGTCAACTGGACCCTGGGCCACCTCAGTTAATCCTTAAAAGCTGGACTCCCGCTTTTTTGAGTGCTGACCTGAATCCCTGCATTAGAGCAATCCCCTCTACTTACTTAGCTGGAGTCCTTTTCCTAGTCTCCCTTACTTTCTAACTCTACCTAGTAAACCTGCTGTGCCTCCCCTTGCACAAATTCTTTTTGCATGATGCAAATCAAGAACCTACTCAGCAGGCAAAGTTGAGGTCCTTGTCTTCTCTTGGGCATCTACCTTGGACCTCATGCAGTGACAGTCCTGGTTAGGAGTGGAGGGACTGCTGCTAGCATGTAGTGGGTCCCAGGACTGGTCAGCTGCTAAAATGCACCAGACCACCCCACACAGGAGAGACTTATCCTGCCAAAACTGATTGCAGTGCAAAGGTGGAGAAACCCTGCTCTTTGTTTTTAAAGTTTCACGTTTGTAATCAGAAATGTTATTTTTAAAAGAATGTAAAAGAGGCTAGAGGGTGTAGGTCTGTGGTAGAGCACTGTGCCTAGTGTGTGTCCCTGAGGCCTTGGGTTGACTCCCAGCACAAAAATAAATAAATAAATTAGAAAAGTAATGTAGGTCTATACTGAAAATCTTTTGAGAAAAGAGGCAAATTACAGTGGACCCTCAAGTTAAAACCAGCCTGATATACGAACAACTTGGGTTAATTAGGTTAATGGAAGATTCACCTGCCTCTTATTATGTGTAGAGTGTTCCCAGTAAACATTGCCTTATAACCAACCCTCCCTCAGGAACTGATGGAGTTCATAAGTCAAGGATCCACTGTATATTATATAACACACAGCAAGCCTTTTTGTTTCTTTTTCTTTTCTTCCTTTTTTTTTTAGAGAGGGTCTTACTATGTAGTTCAACTGACCTTGAACTCATTATGGGGACTCCTCCTGCCTCAGCCTCCCTAGTGCTGGGACTACAGGTGTGCACCATGATACCCAGCAAAGACTTTCTTCATAAAGCTTTTTATATCATTTTCCCTCAAATTTTTATCTTACTCATCAATATTTCTATAATCATCCTCCCCTTATTTTTTGACATTTGTCATTTCCTCTCCCTTACCAATTCTCATAGAGAGATTATCATTATAATGTTAGCAAACATTTACTAAGTGATTATCCAGGGTCAAAGTGTACAAAGTATAACTGTAATATTTTTTTCCTCATCTCAAAAATGAGAAAAATAAAATACAAGGAAGTAACTTCCCCAATATTGCAAATCAGATAAATCTTAGATTGTTCACATAAAGCCAGTCTTGACTCCAGAATCTGAATTCTTAGCTATTCTATATTGATCTACTTTTCAAAATACGTATTAAAGTTCCATTTATGGCAATATGATAGGCTAGAAAATCAACATTTTGGGGGAAAAAAAGGCAAATAATGGAGAAAATATAAAATTAAATTATAGAAAGAAATAACTGACAAGATACTGCAAAATACAAAGGAAAGTTTATGCTTAGGGAGGTAAGCAGGACACTGAAGTGGATACTACAAGAGGACCATTTTCAAATCAGGTGAACTTAGTATCTGTTTTGATACACAGTAGAAGTCAGTATGGGGCCCACTTCTCAGTGAAAATCTAACAGGCCCCCTCCCTACATAAAGCCACACCAGGGGGAAACACTACCAATTCAGCCCAACAAGACTGCACCAAATAACCTCAATGTTGAGAAAAGTGGGCATGTGGGTAACTGTCTGTCTTGGAGACATTACAACCATGAAGAGGTTGTTGGGCAGATTTTCACCCTAGATTCATATCACCCATATGAACCAAAACTTTTGACCTGTGAATACAGTTTGGACCATTATTGTGGCAGCCATATATCCTTTTTTGGTTGCACATGCTTCTCTAATAGGTCTCAAATAATTCTTACAATTCATTTTCCAAGAAAAATTAAAAGTAAGGCCACAATAAAAATAACTAGCATAGAACAAAACTATTCTCAAAATATGTAATTGCAATTTATAGAAGGCACTTGAGCATCCACGTCTTAATATTCACAGAGGATCCTGTAGCTACCAAGGAAAACTGCATAGAAATTAAAATGGGCCAGGTGTGGTGGGTGGAGCACACCAATCACACCAGCTACTCCAGAGGATAAGAAAAAGCGATTGCAAGTTTGAGGCCCGCCTGGGAAACTTACCAAACCCCTCATCTCAAATTAAAAAATAAAAAGGTCTGGAGATATTATAGCTTAAGTGCTCGCTAGGTTCAATCCCCAGTACCACTCAGACACAACATTGAAATAGAAAACTCATTAATTGAGTTTAACACATTAGATATGGAAGAAAAAGCAGAATTTGAAAACTGGAAGTTACTGAGAAAAAAAGTATCCAAAGCAATATAGAAAGGCAAGGGGATTATAAATTAGAAAGAAAAGAGAAATGGAGAATATGGTGAAAGAGTCTAACATAAATTTAATCACAGTTTTATGAGCGGGGGAGAGATTGGATAAGTCTAAGGTAATATTTGAAAAGATATTATCTGTAATTTTTCAGAATGCAGAAAAGACTGTAGAATAAAGAAACCCAACAAATTTCAAGTGGGGTAAATAAAAATAATAGACAGATCATAGTGCACTACATATTTAACATGTTGAATTCACCATGGTTTCACCAAGGACAAACATGAAGATTATTTTCACATTTAAGAACTTAATTTTTTTAGTGAAGTTTTAGTTCCAGAAAAATGAAGAAGCACGTACAAGAAACTCACATATATTCCTTCCCATAATGCACTTACAATTTTCCTCATTGTCAATATTTTCACCAGAGTAAAACATGTATTACAATTAAGGAACTTAAGTGACATGACGCATCTTTATAATCCAGAGTCCATGCTAACATTGTACTTTGCTCTTTGTGTTGTATATTCTATGGATCTAGACAAATGTCCAACGGCATAAATGATACATACACATCATTATGGTATCATATAATTATTTTACTGTCTTCAAACCTCTCTGTGATCTGTTTATCCATCCCCTCCATCCGCTCACAACTGACAATCCCTTTACTGTTTCTGCAGTTTTGTCTTTTCCAAAATGTCTTATAGTTGGAATCAAGCTACAGCCTTGCAGATTGACTTCTTTCACTTAGTAATATTTATTTAAGGTTTCCATATGTCTTTCTACAACTCTATAGTTCATTTCTGTTTAACATTTTATTGCTTAGATGTCACAGTTCATCTATTCACTTACTGAAGGATATCTTGGTTGTTCCCAAGTTTTGGTAGGTACTAATATAGCTACCACATACATCTGTGGACAGGCTTTGTGTGGGATGCATTTTCAACATCTTTCAGTAAGTCCCACGAAGTGTGACTGCTGGATCTGTGGTAAGAGAAAAAAAAAAAAAATTTTTTTTTTTTTTTTGGTACCAGGGATCGAACTCGGGTCTTTGTGTTTTCAAGGCAGGTGGCGGAACCACTGAGCTAAATCCCTGGCCCAAGAGAATGTTTAGTTTTGTAAGATATTATCAAACTGCTTCCAAAATGCTGTGCCATTTTGCATTCCCCCAGCAGTAAATAAGAGTTCCTGTTGCTCCAAGATTTGGTGTTGCCTGGGTTTTGGACATTCTAACAGGTATATATAGTGGTGTTTCATTTTAATTTGTATTTGTCTAGTGACATTTAAGACATGGAGGACCATTTCATATGTCTATATTCAGTCTGTATATATTATTTCCTTAGGTTTCTGTTAA